TGACCACACAGTCTGTGTAAGTAATGTAGGAGACAACTATTGACCACACAGTCTGTGTAAGTAATGTAGGAGACAACTATTGACCACACAGTCTGTGTAAGTAATGTAGGAGACAACTATTGACCACTCAGCCTGTGTAATGTAGGAGACAACTATTGACCACACAGCCTGTGTAAGTAATGTAGGAGACAACTATTGACCACACAGCCTGTGTAAGTAATGTAGGAGACAACTATTGACCACACAGCACAACTCACCTTAAAGAGAAAATTCTTTTTGTGATCCGGCCCACTCTCACTGACAACGGTAAATGCCGGCGGTCCCCACCTCCTCTTGTTACAAAGCTCCATCAAGGCAGAGACTGGGTGTTTGTCTGAAAATACACCATCATCACCATCATCACCATCATCATCATCATCATCATCCAGTGCCAGATCTGCGACAGACATCGGCGATCATGGTTCTCCATTCTTCATTTGCTCAGATGCTCTTAAAAAAGCTGCGTTTCCCTGATCTTTCCCTGTTACCCATTTGTTTAGGGTCCTTAAGTAGATTGCTCTGGGCCTACCCCTCACTCGCTTGCCCTCAATTTTGCCAGTGAGAGCTAGATGTTCAAGACCCTTATGTCTATTCAGGTGTCCCAAAAACTGCCTTTGTCGTCTCCTGATTGTTTTTAACATTGAGCGTCCCACGTGGGCTTCATCAAGAACTACCTCATGTGATTTCTTTTCCTTCCACGATATTCTCAGCAGTCTCCTAAGAAACCACATTTCTGTTGCTTCTATTTTACAAACAGCATTTCAGAACGTTCACTAGAAGAGAACAGAAAAAGATTTCCCAAGAAAATACAAAAATACCAAACAGAATCCTATGTTGTTGTTGTTTTCAAATCCCTTTAGCTGCGAGCATTTCGCTCTTGGCAGCGCAATGCCTGTCTCAAACAGAATCCTATAGACAATAGAAGAGACATCAAACAGACACCTCACTGTTATTTTCTTCTTTGTTTTTTCAGGTCCTATTGTAGGAAAGAACAGAGTCCCTAAACACGCAGACGACGAAATCCCTCTAGCCCTTTGTGCCTGTCACAGAATCTAGGTCAGCACGAGAGCCTTGTTATATTATATATTGCCCAGCGTTAAGCTTCGATCTAATTAAAGTAAATCAGTAGTGTACACAACAGTTCCAGCAGTTTGGTATTTCTTTAGAACAATAAACACACCCTTCTCAGTCAAGACTTTTGTTGTCCAGGTCAATCCTGTAGTTGTCTGAAGTTTGTAGACCTACTAACATTTCTAACAAGCGTGTCAGACTGTGTGTCATACGCTACACAAGCAGTTCTATCACACAGTAATAAGTTCATGTATATGACATAACATGTACTGGTAGGGAGCTGTACCGTGACATAAAAGGTTTTGAGCGGGAAAAAAAAATAGATAAAAACTTCCCAGCTGGCAGAAAAATGTCAGTCTCAAGGATCTGATCATCTTGCCAAGTGCTTCATTTCACCAGGACAACAAACATACAGTCTATGGCAGGCACAGAATAAACAAAACAACAACCCTGAAACAACAAATTGAACAAGCGCACATGCTGCTGAATCAAATGGCTATCATGAAGCCATTCAATATGTTTGTCTAACTGTTTGTTGGCCTTGTCTGTCTGTTTGTGTTTTCGTAAGACTGCGACACTCACTGGAAAGATCCTTGGCTCTGGGTTGTTGTGGCTGACAGTTCCTGCCTTTCTGAGTCTCCGTCGAAGCTTGCAGGCCTAGCAAAGACATCGTGGAAATTTTAGGTACAACAAAAATCGACACAAAAACAGACTTCCTTGATTCAGTACACACAGGACAGCCCAAAACTTGTTCATCTATCTCTCTCTCTCTCTCTCTGTCTCTCTCAGTCTCTTTATATATATTGTTAATATATATTTAAATATATATATTCGCATAGACTCAACTGAAAGGCCAATTTTTCCTTACACACGGGTGTACATACAAAAGAAATCTGTGCATTCCAGGTCTACTTTCAGGCACTTTGAATTTTTTTCTGTGTGGTACCTAATCATATGATATATATATATAACGCATTATGTTTACACGCTAATCAACTTAAGATTCAATGACAATTATCGTACTTCATACTGAAAACGTGCAAAACTCAACTGTATTATTGTCTAGGTGTTCCCATCACACCAAGTGGTAGGCTCTAGGAAGAATTCACTTCACTTACAGAATCATTTGCCCC